CATAAATAAATGGTTTCGTTTACGACTCTGGACATTAACCTGTTAAATTTCTAATGTGTGCGAGTCAAGAGAGTGTCCTGTGTCCAACCGCCCAGCACCAACACCAGTCACCCCCTCACCTCGCCCCTCTACCGCAGGCACTTACGGAGCAAAGCCCGTCTGTCAGCCAGAGCCGCAGTTATTCCAGCAAACCCGACGTTTTCACCGCCCCGCCCCGCCCCTTACTAACTCTTCTGGCTTTCCTGTTACTTGGCCAACCCCTAGCTCCAGCCCCACCCCCTTTACCCCGTTAAGATTGTTGCTTTTCCGGCCGCAAATAGCCAACGAGCAGCAACGTTTTGCATATTTAAGCAGCTAGCAGCAAGCGACCTGACAGCCCCGGATAATCTGCCATACTAATGTGACCAGCCATGGCGAGCGGGGTGCGGAGTGCGGGGTGCGGAGTGCGGGGACTTTGACTTAAACTTTAAATGCGATTGCGACTACACAGCGAGAAATTAATGTGCTCAATTCGAGTAAATCGGATTAGAATTTGGAATAAAATAACAGTTAAAGTGTTAATTGAAGACATGAATTTTAAATGTAATAAAATATAATAAAAAAAACTAATTTTCTTCTGTTTTTAAGCTCATAATATATTCAAATATTTCCTGTATTTTGGATGATAAAAATTGTTCGAACTGAAGGATGAGTATCGAAAGTGAGAGTTTTGCGAAATGATGAGGATGCTTGGACTCGGAATTTTTAGAAACATATAGTCATAGCCTTAAAGAATTCACAAAATCTTTGAAAAATTATGATACAAAAATAATTAGATTTCAGATATTACACTTTTCTAAAATTGAAGTCGAAACCTTTTAAATACGAACAACCAAAGGAATACGAATTGTATAATCACTGCACAATACATCTTACTTTTTTATCAGTGTATGCACACTACATATTATCAAATTGCATAAGCAAAACATTGATAAAAATATAATTAAAAGTTAGAATGCAATGAATATAAAATTCATATCTCTTATAGTCAAGGCATAACTTTTATTTAGTTTTTTTTGCAAAGTGCAAAGTTTTTCGCTCAGTGTAAGTAGCAGGGGCTGGTATTACATGGGCAGGCAGGCTGGCCACAAAATCAATAATGATTACATTTGCGTTGCATATTTCACCAGACTGGGGGAAAGATTTGCTTCTGCCCGCCGTCTAAATGACATTTGCGGGCCTACGACGCCGACGACGGCGACGACGACGCGACCGGAAAAAGAGAAGGCGCAACGTGAATTCTTGGCCGGTCAGGTGGTCCGTTGGGCTGCGGTTGGTGCTGTTGATGGTTTCTGGCTCTGGTTGGAGAGTGTGAATAATGCAGCTAGCAAAACACACAAAAGACGGAAGGCGGTTAAGTGCTCGGAGGCAGCAGCAGCAACAATAAGGCCTACGCCCACTTCTAAACAGGGCGAAGAGCCAGAGAGAGAGGGCGGGCGAGAGAGAGAGCGAGAGAGAGGGCACCCCACTTTAGCTCTGAGCTGTGCTCCATGGCAAAAAAAAAAAAAAACAAACGGGTTGAGTACTTTGCGCTGTGGGGCTTCGAAGCAAAAGAAATGCAGAAAGCAAGAGGAAACTGCAATAAGTGGCGCGCAGGGTCAACAATGCAAGGGGGAGTGAGGTGGGGTGCTGATAAGTGAGAGGGGGCCACAGGCAGACAAAGAGGAACGCCACTCAATGCGATTCAGCGACGTCAACGGCCTACAGACGACGGCAATGAGTAGAAAAAAAAAATACGAAGAATAAGAAGCAGCAAAAATAGAAAGAGGAACAGCGAGGGCGGGAGGCGGGTAGGGGGAGGGGGGTTATGGTGAAGTGGAGGGCGAGACTAAGACGAGACTAAGCTCAAGCCCCAACCAGTTAGAAATTGCAGCAGAAAAATGCAACAAAGTACAGCTACCAATCTGATAGCGAGCAAACACACACACACACACACACACACAGTCTACCTCCCCCTACCCCGCCCCAACAGTCGTACGTTTTATGCTCGTTTGGCAGGTTGAAATTCAACGCAGCAGAACGAACGAAGCGACAGAGTAAAGTAAATGAGAAAACTAGTTGAAATGACACGACGCGCCAATACTCTGGAAAAGTTAACAATACAAAAAAAAACTACTGTATTCATCTGAATAAATGTCCTGTTACTTATGGAACAGGTGAATTTAAGACTCTAACCCTTGTGACTGTCAAACTGTGACAAAGATTAAATATTTTTATGTACATGTATATGTTTTCCAATTTGCGTGTTGGTAGTTCCGGACATATTTGTGAATCGATCCTGTATTTTAACTTACATATTCGGGTAGTTTCTCTCTAAGTCAATGGAATATACACCTTAAAACACTTTTTGCACTTTGTGCATAAAATATTTCTACTTTATCGAGCTACATATATACACGACTATACATATTCAAACAGGCTAACATTGCATACAATGAATATACACTTTTACCTCTGAGAATAGGGTATAAATAGCAAAGAAAATACACTCACACACACAACAATACAAATAAAATACCAGACAAAAAAGAAAAGCAGGCGTCAAAGCGACGTGTGCATCAAAAAAAAAAAAAAACACAAAATAGGCACAGTGCGAACGAAGAATGTGCAAAGAGCAAAAGCAGCAGCAGCAGAAGCAGCAGCCGCAAAGCGCAAAGTAGAAAATGCAACATAAAGCAAACGCCAAAGCAATTGCAACTGAATGCACTGCTAAGAAGAAGAGCGCAGCCAACGACAGCAGCAATCCGGGAGGTGACTGGGCGAGACAAGCAGCCGTATATCTTGTACACAAAACAAACGGCAGATAAAAGCACCAATCACTTGTCTTTGTATGTGAGTAGTTATTGCAAAAACAAACTATGCTCATCTTCTATCAATTTGATACGTATCTTGAAACTTTACAGATAATGATAGATAATGATTAATGCTGCAATCAGTTCATATATTGAAGGCCAATCAATCAACCCAGGCTGCTAATATAGCTATCGTTGAAATTAATTGCAAACAAAAAACCCAATGTCTTGACCAAACTCAACAATTTAAAGTCCCATTTTGCTTATTTTATATTTTAAAGTATTCTCTTCAAATTTTTAAATGGTATTTCTATAAAAAATGTTCTTGTAGAAGTATTACGCTTTGGTTTTATTGTTAATTCTAATTACTCTCGTATATCACATAAAAGTATGAGTTTTTGATACTTCATAACTAGTTTTTTGTCTTATTTCGACAATTATTTCTGGTACTTAAATTTGCGTGTTTGTGCAAGAGTTCTTGAAATGAATCAAATAAGAAACTCAAAGAATTCTGCTTACCCAGTCAGAATCAATATGTATGTTTGTCTAACTGTCATTTCATACCCAAAAGTTGAGAGCGTGCCAAGTGTAAATGATTTAAGTGACTAGGTAACAACAACAACAGCAGCAGCAGCAGCAAAAATCTAAACAACAAAGCAATGCCTGAGTTTGAGCTTTGTGCAAAGCCCCGAACCAAGTCAACGGAATATGAAAGGTAGAACGAGAGGGAGAGAGAGAGAGTAGGTGAGTGAGAAACGCAAGGCACGGGCGTAAATTCAAATTCAAATCTGTCTCTTTTCAAGTGCAGCGAAGCGGCGACGGCGACGGCAACGGCGACGTCGCCTTAAAAGTAATCACAATTGAATTTTATAGGCGGCGGGCCAGACGCAACTGCACATAATATGTATGAAAAACACAATACAATATAAAAGTTTCTGCAGTTTGTTGGCTGGCATTTTGATAAGAATGAAGCTCTGACAACGCCTTGCAAAAGTTTGCCAAGCGGAAGTGATTAAGGCAAAAGGGCTGCCAAAAATTGATTCTTAAAAAAAAGTAAATCAACACAATAAGTCGTGCGCATTGCTGCCCACGCCAATTAGAAAAATATACATAAATCCCAACTGGTAAAGGGCAGTGTTGTACAATGTCAAAACAGGCAAGTCGCACATTTACACACACACACACACGCATACTATTAAAAATTTGAGAGCAGAGAGCGGCTTGCGCAAGAGAGCAAGAAGCAAAACCCAAAGGCGCGCGTAAACGGCGACTGTTCCAAGAATGCAAGGCACAAAAGGAGGCAAATAACAACAAAAAGAAGAAAACAAAGAGCGCTCAGGCAAAGCAAAACGTGAGAAGCAAATAAGAAAATAATGCGACGCCGCCGCCACCGCTGCCGCTGCCATACAAAAATCAATTTCCATCGGCGTGGGGACGGACGGGGTATGTTAAATGCGAATGTGATGTGTGTGGATGCTGTCTTTGCTTTTGCACTCTGAAAAGGGGAGCAAAACGAGTTGCAACGAATACCGCATACCCTATACAATTAAATTCGGCAAGCGTTTAGCATGTCAAACGCATGGAATTCAAATCAAATTATTAATATTATTTTTGATATACTCATTTTTTTAAAGATTTAAATTTGAATAAATAAAATATATGGAAAACGTCTTTTATTATATTTAATATCAAAAGATCTGCTATTGCAAGTGCCTAACAGAAGGAAAAAGATATGATTCACGGAAACCCACTCTTATCAATTTTATTATTTGTTTGCATGCGTTTCTAAAGACATCAATAATTGAAAATGGTCTAATTCAAAAAGGGCATAAAAACTGTATACACCACGCACACACACACACACACATATACGCAGGCACGCAACACGCGACGGCTTTGCCGGCTGGCTGTCCACAAGCTGAGAGCGAATGCGAGAATAGAGAGAAAGAACGCTTAATTATGCTTAATTTGTTGTTAATCAAACTGAACAACAATAAACTTAACAAAACGTTGTAAGGTTTTTTGCACAACAATCACAGTAAGAGAGCAATAGCGGGAGAGAGAGAGAGAGGGGTGACGAGAGAGCATCTAAAAACTCACGCGGTAGACAACAAAAGCTGGTTAAAAATTTGTTGGGCAGTCAAATTGTGTAAAATAAATTGCGCTCACGTTTTTTTCTCAATTGTAGTTGTTGTTGTATAAGTATGTTTTGTTGTTTTCTTTTGTGATTTGTGTTTTTGCCGCTTTTTTTTTGCTTTCCAATTACTGTTTGTACACTGCTCTCTTCCTTTTCGGCTTCACGTTTCAGACTTGTATTGCAATTTGCAATTTTAGACGCGACGCGCTTTTTTTTGTTTTTTTGGTTTTTTGCTTGTTTTTTTATATATTAAATTTAGTTGTATTGCTTGTTGCTTGTATTTTGTCACTGTGTAATTCACGCCGCGCGACAACAATTTCTTTGCATAATACAATTAAATCGGGTTTAAGTTATATTCTGAATTTTCTATAATTTTTCACTGACCAACAAATCGAGACGTTGCGACGCGTTGCGAGCTGAACGAACCGTACACCACCATTAAATTTTTATAAATGACTCAGTTTCGCGCTCAGTTTTTCTTATAAGAACAAACAAGCCAAACGGGCAGACGAATCGTGCTCTCCGTCTCTCTCACTCTCTTGGAGAGCGAACACCACCCGCAGTGCTGTTAAATAGACTGGCTACTCAAACTGTTAACTGTTAACTCACCGCCAAATTGAGTTGAGCTGCTGAGTGTACAGTGCGCACGAACGGGCTGTCAACATTGCATTGCATACTCATGGGGATGCACTCGAATGTTAGCTGCCAACTTAACAGCTGACTGTTGACTAACAGTACGCTGCTTACAACGCACTGAGTGTGTTTCTTATACGAAAGCGCAACTACGGTTGTCTCCCTTGCACTTGTTGCGCACCGCTTTCAAACTGTTTGAGTACATTTTGCCATGAGTGAGTGCACACACAATGAGTGAGTGACTTTTCGCAGTGGCCTGGCTGCACGGGAAAAGTGCTGCCAAGTTGTGCGCATATCAAATGCGCGAATTTGAATAGAATATATAATATATACCATATATATAATTTAAATCGAAATTAACTTTAATAAGGGATAACAAATTGACCAAATTCAAAATGATTTTAATTACGTTGCTGATTATTTACATACAAATGCATGTTTAAATATGCAAATTTCTGTCAAAGGGCTTAAATTATAATATTCAATAAGCACGACAACAACAAGAACAAGAACAACAACAAGCTGTGGCCATTTATTCGCAGCGAAGAGTCATTATTGAATTAAATTTTAATTACGTTATTAATATGCACAACAACAACAACAACAACAAGAAGAAGAACAACAACAATAATTGCTTCGACACAAATAAATGTTTTAGTTCATTATATAAATTATTGCTGCAGCGGCGGCATTTTTAATTATATCTTTATTTGCCTTTTTTGCCCCATTGTTGATTTTCTTTGTTGACATTTATTTCTAGCTAACACATCCTTTTTCGTGTGACCTCCAAACAAACTGTCAACAAAAATTATGTAAATTTTCCATAATTTTACGAGAATTACATTTTCTGCTTAATTAAAGAGCACACAATTAACTGAACTTTGGCTAAAATGTGCAAATACAAATTTATATAGTTACATAAAGTTAAACTGGACTCAAATGCTTATTGAATTGCAAATTATACATTTTAAGCCCAATTTATATATGTTCCTGTTCAGTTGCACAACATTCAATAAAAAAAAAAAACACTGCAATATGAAAAGCACTTTCACTTTGTTTTTTCCTCTGAATTATAAATCAGCCACATTTTTTTCAAATGCCAATATTTTTGCTTGTTCCTTTTGTTTTTGCATCGGATATTTCTGCGAAAAACATTTGAATTATGCTTCGTTAAGCACGGCTCTATCCAATAACTGTGATATTCAACTACCGCAATAGTTTCTTTTGATACCCTGTAATATGGCTGTCGCGGGTTCGTTTATCCCAGCAAAGCTGTGTGTTACAAAGAGAAGAGACTTAAATTGTCTCTGATAATAATTTAAGAATAATGGATCTTCAGGAAATATGTTTAAGGTTACACAATGAAAAAGTACTATTATTATTATTATTATTATTATTACTATTTATTATTATTATTATCATTATGATTATTATTCTTTTTATAGCTTTTGTCATTATTATTATTATTATCATTATTATTATTATTATTATTATTATTATTATTATTATTATTATTATTATTATTATTATTATTATTATTATTATTATTATTATTATTATTATTATTATTATTATTATTATTATTATTATTATTATTATTATTATTATTATTATTATTAATATTAGTATTATTATTATTATTATAATATTATTATTATTATTGTTATTATTATTATTATTATCTATATTATTATAGATATTGATATTATTATTATTATTATTTTTATTGTGATTATCAATATTATTATTATCATTATAATTATTAATATTACCATCATTATTATTATTATTATTATCATTATTATTATTATTATTATTATTATCATTATTAGCTTAATTATTATTTTTATCATAATAATATCATCATTATTAGTATTATTAATTATTATTATTATTATTATTATCATTGTTCTAAATATCATTATTAGTAATATTATTTTAATTATTACCATTAGCAGACTAATATTTGTCACAATCTTAGATTTATCTGCCTGGCGACAATTCTTTGTAACTCTAAGCTTAGCTTGAATCAGGCCCTTGTTTTCGTTGGAAGACACGAAAGAGATAAATAGGCGATAACCGCCAGCAAAACGCATTATGAGAATTCGTGCATATTTTACCTGGCTAAAAGGTATTTCCGAGTCCAATTAACGTACAATTGCGCGCACATACACATACACGTACACATAGACATACACATATACGTGCATATTCGCAAATGGAATATAATTTCATATGCTAAATGCTGTACACAGCTGTCTTTTGGCCATGTGAGTGTGTGTGTGTGTGTGTGTGTGTGTGTGTGTGTGAGCGGCAGTACGTGCACAAAAGTCAATTAATTGAATAAAAATACAATTTTTTATGGTAGACATAAAAAAAACCAAAAAGAAGTAAAAGCGAAAATCTACGGAAAATATATCATTGGTCAGTTGCAGGCTAATTGGGCACTGTTTGTGGGCGTGGCACAAATTTAAATGTCACACGCAAAAATTTATACACCGAAAAAAAGACAGAGTGCGGGCGTGAGAGAAAGAGACGTGGGCCTGGAGTATTATAACAATGCAACGGGATGAAGCGCAGAAAAAACCAAAAAAAAAAGCCAAAAAAAAAAGTTGCATGCGCGGCTGACTGTGCGGGGGGGGGGGGGGGTCAGCGTTTGAACCTGGTTCAGCGATAAGTGTAAAGCGTAATTAAATTTTCATGACGCAAAAAGTGATATAAGAAGCGACTCGAAAAGAGCACCAGCTGACGGAGCGAAAGAGAGCCAGCAGAGAGCGAGAGAGAGAGGGAGAGCGAGCGAGGCGAAAACAAGTTGGCAGCGCCGCGCGCAAAAGAATACGAAGAAAGAGAACGTTACAAGCGAAGTGCATTAAGCTTGCGAGTTTAATTAAATTATTATTAATCTCATTTGAGTGTGTGGTAGGAATTGCAAAGAGCGAGGGGCGGGGGACGATGTGTGTATGCGTCTGTGTGTGGGATGACGATAGTAATACATGCATACAGCCCCCCCCCCCCCCCAATCATCTCCTCACTCTATACTATTCCTATCACACACTCAAATGAGTTGCCGCTGCGGAGGAGGGTGAAGGGGGGTGGTGTGTGCGTGTTGAATAACGATAGTAACACACATACACACACATACGCGCGCACTCACACTAATTTACACTTTTTCCTCATCTGCATTTACAAGGACATGAAATTTTAATCACATATCCTGTGTGGGCAATAGGCTGCACAGACACAAACACACACACACGCACGCATACGTACACACAAATGTATAGAATATAAACGTGACACATACAAGCATAAGTAGGTAAATACATATACAAATTCGCTGCAAAAAACTTTTCGCTTACCTGTGCATGTGTGTTTGTGTGTCTGTGTAAAAGTTAAATGCATGTTGATTCTTTTTGAACGATAGGTGGAGTGAATGTGTATTTGTGTGTGTGTGGGAGAGAGAGAGAGAGAGAGAGAGAGGGAGAGAGTATTTTGGGTCAGACACCGAGTTCAGGGTAAGGATCAGCGCTCGGGACAGTTTGACAGCGAACATTTTGGAAAATTAGGTCGCGTTGAATTTTGTATAAACTCTAATTGTCACAAAATGCGGCAAAATGTTAACCGACAGACAAACGTGTGCTGTACATGAATATACATACAAACGTACATTTGTTTATTTATGCGCATAATCAATTCAAATTTAATAATCAATGCAGAATTGTTAATTTCCATAAGCTGCAACTTTTACAAAATGGCGCAAAGTTAAGGTCTGCCAGAAAAACGGTGCACAAATATTAAAGAATTCCTGCTAATTTAAAATAAATACCAGGTAAATTAAGCTACAATTAGCGGGCTATCAAAAGTAATCTGGCCTCAGATATTTGGCATGAATTTCTCAAACAATTTCTTCACACTTTCATTGTATGATCTAGAAATTTATGAATTGTTTATTAATTTGTAAGACAAAACAGTTTTACTTTTAAAGAAATAAGTGAGCTCTACTCGCAGTTGGCCTACTTGGATATAGCCAAGTCCGTCTGTCTGTTTCTATTCTCTTAGTCTTAGTTGCAGCCAGATCAGACCACTATATCATATAGTTGACATAGGTTCGATCGTTCGAAGACTAGGTGCTTGTAAGGAAAACTTGTTGCTTATCAAGATATTTTGGACAATCTCAGCATTTTTAAATTTCACTATGCTCCTCATATAAATGCATAGTCTTATCAACATCGGACATAGAAACAATCAGTCGAAAAGTAGATTATTATATGGCAACATATTCTGTTTTCCAAGATATTTTCATCAAACTCAGCATTTCCTAGCTTCACTATTCCCACAAAAAAAGGCAATGTCTACAAAAGTATTTAATCTTCGGCGTGCCGAATATAGATTTACTTTCTCGTTTAAAATTTGATTTGAAGATCTTAAAACAAGTTTCAATCGACAGATTTATTTTATTACTTTCTTCTTCATTGAAATATTTGCAACAAATCTTGTGGAAACTTTTTAAAGCTGAAGAACTAGCAATGCGATTGACTATATTTAATAACTTTAAGAGCATCCAGAAAATGCAACAGATAAATTTCCATCTGCATTAGCTTAAAGTCAAAATAATAATATTAATTGCGTAAAGGAAACTCTGTGCTCAAGGAATATTCCTCTAATATATTTTGATTTTGATTTATTTTGGCAAGCTGCAAGTTATCTTTGACATGTGTTCCGGCAAACATATTATGCTAATTAAAATTAGTTTTATAATGCTAAAAGTTGCCTGCGGTGCGATTGTTAAGCCAATTGTGAAAAGCACTTGACCC